GCAACATCCAACAGCAGTGGCAATGCACCAGCTGCACTCCCAGCAGCAATGAAAAATACAGACACCCCAAACAATTGCACTGCCTTGAGCTGAGCTATGAGAAGCCCAATTCAAACAGCCAGGAGATGAGAAGATCTGAAACTCCAATAGTTTCACTCTGGGGTCTAACTCAGCCTGAAAGATCTGCAGGAATGCCTTGTCACCATCTGCCCCCAGTTATGTGGTGCCAGGACACAGCACAAGGACTGGACTGCATTTTCTGCTCTCTTCATGCACGGACTGGATGCACCTTTCCTTCTCTTTACACAGAGGCTTCTTTGCTCACTTTCTTCACTGTTTTCTCCTTTTGCCAAGAAGAAGTGTGCTGTGTGCACAGTGGCAGCTTTCCAAAGGCAAATAACCCAGCTGCTAGGCCTGATTCTTGTCCCATAAAGGGCATCAGACAGTGATTAATTATAAAATAAAACAATGAAGGACAGCCCAAGGTGTCTGGCTTTGGAAAAGCTGTTATGGCACAGGCAAAGTGTCCCTGCTCCCACTGAGAACTGTGCTCAGGAGGCACAAGGTGGGGACTACATCTGCGAAGGAACATGTGCTTGAGGTCATGGCTGACCCCCCTGGTCCCGCAGATCCTCCACTTAAACCTCTGGAAGCTGCAACTCCATAAACCCCTGGAGTTTCCTGAAGCTGTAGCTTCTTTTTTAATTAATACAAAGACTTTTGGCACTATCACAAGCTTTAGTTACACAAAATGTGCCTTCTCCAGTCAGGGTTCCAGAACTGAGCTTTCCAGCAATTCAGCACCCACAGACCCACAAACCATCTCTGCCCCCCTGCCAGCCCCCAGACCACTGCCTGCCTTTAAGTGAGGATGGGACTTTTCCCTGGTAAAATCCCAAAAATCTGCACTGAGTTTTGACAGACCTTTTCCAATGGCTCCAGCCAATTCCCCTCTCCCCTCAGGAGGCCTCCCACCCTAAGAGTGGGGTGACATCCTGGACGATATCCGAGGTGATATCCCAGACAAAGGGGGGGAAATCTGGGATTTGTGGTGGCCCCACAGATCCCTGACAGAAGAGGAAACTGGAGGAAAGATGGGAGGAAGGAGCAGGGAGTGATATCCAGGTTCTGGCATGGCTAGGAAGGGGGAAAGGGCACAGGGACCCTGGGGCTGAGCAAACATGAAAGCACAGAGAGCTTTAAACATGGATGAGAGGAGACAACCTGAGAGGAGAAAAAGCAACAGCTCAGACACAGCCCCGAGCAGCCCTGGCTCCAGCAGCACCAGGGTGTGCTCCTGGGGATCAGGGACACACAACTGCCCTGTCCCATGGCTCAGTGTCACCAAGGCTGTGACACCACCAGGCACCACCCACAGGCCTGCAGAGCTCTGCTTTGGGCCCCTCAGCAGAGCAGAGCTCTCTCACGGCAAATACAAACATTTTACCCACTCCCACCAGTTTGCCAAGTGTCTTAAAAAATGAGCAAGCCTTGTCTCCCTCTCCAAATTCAGCCTTCAGAAAGTTGAACACCATGTGCCACATCAGTGGGGTCCCCATTTCTTAATTTAAAAAACAGAATAAAAATTATGGGTAGCCAGCACAAGCCTTGGAGGTACTCCTGAGGTTCTCCTGCCGTGGCTACCATGCTGAAGGTAGCTGCAATTGATATTCATTATTTCCTTATTTAACATGAGAACTAATTAGCTATCATATGTCCTTCCATGGACACATCCAGAATGGAGTCATAATGTAGCCCATAAATAAACACAGCTCATCAGCGTGACAGTCTGACATTCCCCAAATGAAGAAAAAAGGACAAACAACCTAAAAATGTTGTGTGATTACTTTTAACCTATAATTAATTACATGTGCAATTAGATTAGCAACAGCAACAGCTCTGGACAAGCAATTAGACAGCTAATTACAGGGAAAACATAACTGAAGGCTCCAACAGATGACCACCCCTCTGCTCCCCAGCCAGGTGCTCCAGAACTCTCAGGTTTGTTTCTTTAGCTTTAAAAAAAAATCCATTCATGTAGCTCAGACACAACCACGAAGTGCAATGCACAGAAGTAAAAGAGAAGCTCAGCTCTCCCACAAACAGTTCCCTTCTCCTCTGTCCCACCACTGCTGTCTGCCCATGGGACAGTCCTTGCACCCACCCAAGCAGAGAAACTGACACCTGAGTTCTGCTCCCCTTCTCCCACTATAAAACAACTTTCCTGTTGGAAAAAAAATTGCATGATGCTTTACAGGGAACACGCAGTTTTTCCTGGATTACTGCAGTTCTTTTGAGATCTGCTGGTTTTCCTCACTAAATACAATATTTGAGAAGGGATGTTCTTCAGTAATTTATCCCCTTGAGAGAAGTTTACAGCAACTAAACTAATGAGGCATGAGTCTAAGTAAACATGAAAATGCTGATGTGCTTCCAAGTGCCTGCACCGACTTCATTAGGTTTTGGTTTATATTTATCTCTCAGCCTGTATCAAAGCCTCTCATGCGACAGGAGCACTTCATTCCCTTCCCATGTTCGATGCCCCCAGCAGCTCCTGCCAGCCCAGCGCCCGAGCAATGCCAGAGCCCGGGGCTCCTGCGGACACTTCCAAACCTGGCTGTGTCCCCACGGCCCCAGCTCTTCCCGTGCTTTCATTTTCAGAAAATGCCACAAAGTTCTCATATCAACAAGTGAAACTGGAATTCTCTAACTCAGAAATCCCAGCTCTGCTACTTCACATTTGTCACAGTTGTACAGACAAACAGAAAAGCATCACTTAGCTGAATACCTCTAAATATCTCTTTTGTAAAGGTTTGTAACACAAAGTCAAGAAATGCAGCAGCAAAAGAAAATAAAAATGCACTTTCGTTGGTTATTTTCCTTTCAACTGTATTAAAAGCCCACAAAGGTGCCCGAAGACACTAAAACATTGAATTTCTTACCTAAAAGATGTGCAGTCACAAATCAGGTGCCTTCCTTCCTTTTCAAAGTCCTCCTTGATACTTGGATTCTTTGATAGGTTTCCAGTTAATTTCAAATATAACTACTTACCTGTGTTCACCTCTTTTCGCCAACTATTAGCTGCCACTAATACTAATACACAGTTTACACACCCACTGTATATAACCTTAAATCCCAAAGGGTAAGATTGCACTCTGCTATAAATTCTTTACGGAAAAATTATCTCTCCCTTTTTCTACCTTCTTATCATGTTCTCAGAACAACACCGAAGTACCAATCATTTCCGTAAGCAAATAAACTATTTTTCCAGCCTGTAACTCTCAGCCTTGCCAGGAGAGATGGTGGCTGACAACCAGTGGCTCTCAGCAGGGACCACTCTTTGCAAAACACTGACATACTAAGGGCAGAGCAAGAATTTACACAATAAAGCTTAATTTAAAATCTTCCCTTCGCCAAATATAAATATTATATGGAAATAGTTGGTTTAAAGATTAATATCAATTCTAGAAGAAAAAAAAAATCTCTTGATACTTTCAAAAGGAGAATGTTATTTCTTAGTCAGGCTTGTTTAAATTGCAGTTTACACTGGCTGTTTGTTGGAGATTTAGGGATGGGAGACAATTTGGCAATTAAAGCCTGACACATTTTCTAGCTACCTGAAGTTCATATTCCATGAAAGAGAAAAAAACCTGGCACTTAGACGAAGAGCTGCTGAGAGCACCTGATGGCTGTAAGTTACCATCAGCTTCAGCCCCCTCCAACCCTCCCACACCGAATGGAGACACTTTCATAAAAGCTTTTCTCCTACTGCAAAACAGTTATCACATAGATCACACAAAAACATCAGAATTATTACAGACCAGAAAATTCCAACCAACTTCTGAAGTTTGTGCGTATCTACAATGGCTTCCTTTCTCAGCTGCTGCCCATCTGTAATTAGCAGCTGTAAGAACCGAGTATCTGTAAAATCTGCAGCAGCACCGGCCGCGCTTCAGCAGGGGCGGAGCAGTGGGTGAGGAACGCTTCTGTGGGGCTTTACACCTTCAGCTTCGTGTCTGTACAAAGCATTTTTATCAGTGTTCCAGTCACGTTTCAGTGACAAATAAAATACCAAAACTACAAAGTCACTGGGATTTCAGGAACAGCCCTCGGCCGGGACTCCTGCCTTCCCCTCACACACACATTGTGCGTCTTTAATGCTTGCTGATGATTCAGGCAGAAATCATTGAGTCCACTCGCATGTAATGACTTCTTCAAGGGTAGTTGTACCACTTTTCCAGCTGCAAGCTCAGTTAAACGTGTTTTTCTCCGCCCTTAGCGAGGCAATTCCCGCTCGGAGCGGGCCGGTGGCTCCAACCGGCGGCAGCGCTGGGGCAGGGCCGGGCGGGCTCACCGCGCTCCGACCGCAGCCGGGTTTTCATGGATCCCGGCATTCCCGCACCCACAGCAATGCGGCTCCCAGGGAGGGGCCCGGGAGCAGAGCCAGGGACGGCAGCTCCCACACCTCGATCCACTTCCATGCGGACACGGGAGGGGCTTTTGCCCTCGAGGCTGAGGGGTCCCGCCCGGCCCCGGGGTTCGGCTCCTCACGGCTGGGGCGGCTCCGGCCCGGCCCGGCCCGGCCCCAGGGCTCGGCTCTTCCAGCCTCACCAGCTCCTACTGCCTCAGAATCCAGCTTGCAGCGACCAGCACTGCAGTGTGCTGGGGTTTGTAAAATTCCTTCATGGAGACTCCCAAGTTTAGTTGGGAAACATGAGATCCTGAGAGTGTCACAGAGCCACCGCTCTGCCTGCTGGGCTGAGCCCTCAGCGCTGCCCATCGGGCCTCGGAGCCACCCAGCCCCTCCCGCAGCACAAACTGCTCCTTCTGTGCCCCTGAACAAGGCTTTCAAAGTTTTTTTTCTCCAAAACTTGGCATTTTATCTTTCTTGATCATCCCGGAGTCTGAAGTAGAAGGCAGTATATACCAGCATTTGCTCACTGTGTTTGGACTGACACTTTCAGTATTATTTTTTTTTCTTAAAAAATCCTAGCTGAAAGTCCCACATAGAAGCTGCCAAGTTAAATTTATGACAAAGGTAGCTGCTTCTGCAGGTCGGATTTCAAATCCATGGCTTGAAATGTGACTGACAGAGTGACACACGGTGACAAGAAAAGAGCTCCTTTGGAAGAACTTTTGAAAATAAGTGTTTTTATAATTGATCTGAAATTAGGGAAATGGGAAGACAAAGACGCTTTGCTGGTTTTCCATGCATTTAGAGGCCGTGTTCCAGAAAATTAGTTCCTCAGGAAAATGTCTCTGAGGGCAGCATTTAAGGATTCCTTTAAGTCCCACAGAGATTTCAGCAACACTGAGGGCTGAGTAGAGATGTAAATGCTGCTAAAAGGGTTGATTTTTCTGACAGGCTTTCAGAATCCACTGTGATGGAAATATGCTTTTAAAAAGGGGCTCATACCCCTAAGCTGTGCCAGTGTTGCCAGCAATAATAAAGTGCTGAACCACAGGCATTTCTGAACCACAAAGTTCCATTTTTTTCTTCTTAGTTGAAATTTGCTCTTTTTTTTTGGTCTGAAATCTTCTTTCCAATACTCACTTTAACTGAAGATAGTGGATTAGCATATTTTATCAACTGCTGGAGTTCCACCTTTGACTGTAATTAAGTTTAGGTCAGATCCTGGAAAAAAAAGGACAGGCTATTTCAATAAATGAGTTTTAAAACTCTTCATGTCTTAAAAGTAATATGTAACAGTCCTTTAAATGTACATTCAACTACCTTTTTATATAATTATTCTAAACAGAAAGTCTGGTTTTCCTTGTTTTCAAAAGAAATTACTAAGTGTGAAGAATTTCCTTAAAGACATCAAAATTGCCCTTAAAACAATGTCTTTGTATTTCAGGATTGTTTTATTTTCTTCTTTTTTTCTTCTGCATTTCTTTAAACACTGACCAAAACCCACTTCTACTTTCAAAACTTTTATTTTCAAGAGTTTCTTTAACTTTAAACAACACATATGTTTTCTCCAGAGCCTTTCAGAAAACTCCAAACCAATCAGAACTTTAATTCAAAATGAAGAAAAACCAAAACAGGTAGATATAAAAGGGAAGGGCAGCCAGACGAAGAAACTAAGCCCTGACAAAATGCAGGTTCTTTCAGCTGTTCCTTTAACGTGGCAAACAAGTTTTCTCTTTCCCCAGTGCCCAGGAAAGGTTCCGGGAGCGCTGGATCCTCAGGCACAGCCTGGTGCTGCTGGAGAATTGTTTTTACACCCCAGTCTGTTGCTGGAGGCCCAGGGCAGGACCACAGCCTTGCTGAATGTGTTCAAGCCTTGTGGCTGTTCCAGATGCAGCAGAGGTGCTCACTGCACTCTTTGATGGAGCACCAGAGGGGAATTCCACAGGAATGGTGCCTACAGAAGGTGACATCCTTGTACCTGGTACCAGGAGCGTGTCTGAGCCCATGGATCACTGACAGCGGTGACCACCTTGGCCTTGGGGGCAAAAAGCTGTGCTCTTTTGGGAGCTGTCCCAAATAGAAACAATTGCCTCTTTTCTCCAAGACAAAATGCCTTTTGCACCACCTGGAATGGTGGAAGATTCCAGGTACCGGGAAATTCCATGACAAGTGTGAAAGAGAAATACAGATTAAAAAGTAGAGCTATTCTAATCCCCAACTATTAACAGCAAATATTTCTGTTTATTATACATAGGATGTATCTCCAGGATATATTTATGGGCCTGTAAATGATGAACATAACTGAAATTAGATGTAAGGATATAAAACCACGAGGGCTGTGTTTATAGATAAAGCTTCAGTCAAATGTAAGTCACTGGTGGTGTGACTATGTTACAGCAGAGTAAGGTGAAAAGCAGAGATCCAGGTTTCCACTCCAGTGCTGTGCTTCCTCCCAGAAGGGTCCAGAGAAATCAATTTATATATCAGAGCAAAAAATAGCTGAAATGTTGCTGTTTCCTTCCTACTGATCCCTGCTCACTGATGAGCTTTGTGGGGCCCTGATTTACATCCCACTCAGTTAATGGCACCAGTTCATTTATGACCTTCACCCAGAGCAGCTCATGGCTTCACACATGGACAGTGACAGGAGCACTGACAAATTGAGGTGTTCATGGAGCTCAGGTACCAATCACTGGAGCCTGGGCTGCCTGAAAAGTGCCTTCTATCTGCACAGCATTTCAGACAGACAGGTCTCATCTGCTAAGCTTCAAAACTCCAGCCAGGGGTTCCAATCACAAACCAAGTCTGCTTTTCCCACACCACAAAAAGGGAAAAGAATACAGGTAGATGAAGGCCTGTTGTTCCTAAGCAGTAAGAAGCAACTTTGGATGCTGCAATGGGTTGCTTTGTTTATTTAAGAATTCCTCCTTCCTGCATGACTTCTGCCAAGAAACTACTGTTGAGGCAGATCCTTTGGTTAGAATCCTCAAGCTATTCCCAGCTCCATTTTGTCCTATCTTTGCCATGAAATAAACACCACTGGTATCTGAAACAGAGCCACAAACAGCTGTGCTAATTATACTAAACCAGCACCTTTATTTATGCACCTATTTTTGCATTATTAGCTAAATAGTAAATTGAGTATTTATACAACATACTAAAAAAATGCAGATTACACATATCTCACCTGTCTGGAAACCATTACAACCTATGGACTGTGTGGTTGATAAAAAAAATGCAGTTAAGGCATCCTGCTGGTGTAAGTGCCTGCCAAATGTTCCCTCTCAAAATGGCCAAGAGCTGCATGAAGCCAGAGGGATTTGCAGTGCTCCTGACAGAGGCTGCTATCAACTTGTAACCCTCCAACCCAAGAACACAGAAGGTGCAGACAGCCCATAAACGTGGCCACGAGCCATAGCTTGTGTCCATGGATATCAGCACCAGGAGGAATGGGTCACTGGGAACCAGCACAGAGCAGCAGCACCAGAAAACAACAACAAAAAAAAGGCAAAACAAACCAGCCTCAGCAAACAAGGACAAGTTTGTCCTGTTTGTCCCTAAATGTAAGTGTTCTGACAGTCATGAAAGTAAATCTGTGGTCTGCACAGACCATCCATGTCCAAGGTCTATTCCTCATTAACATGGACAAGATCTTAAATTTCTCATTTATATTTTTATCTCATTTACAGGAGTGGAATATTTTAATCTTGGAAATATTGAATTGGATGTTGAATATCCTACATTATTCTAAGAGAGGCTTTATCAGAAAAGAAGTTTTAGAGTAAATTTGGCTTATTCTTATCAAAACATGCACGCTACTGAAGAAATTCCCCCTCCAGTACTCCAAAAAAGGCTGATAACTCTGTATCTCCATGTCTTTGGCACACCTTCTGTAAAAGGGGGTAAAAATGCTTCCCAGGGATTGTTCTGTTACAGCTAATCAGATTCACGAGGCACATTTACAGAAGTGCTTTCCACGATGTGATGATAATAAGGGAAATCACGGATTAGAATGCATTTCATTTCACCATTGTTCATTTTATTGAGCCACATTTAATGGATTTATTCCTTTTCACAGTGTTATCTCACAATACAGTATGAACTCAGGATTTAGTTAATAAATTAATTAATATTCTCTTTGCCTTTTCACTGGATTGTTAACAAAAATATAAATACAAGATCTAGGAGTTATCATGAGGTACCAGAACAAGGCCACTTCCTGAGTAAAGTGCTCCTTGTTGCTTTTGTTTCATTCTTTTGCTCACTTAATTGGTTTCATTCTCTTTTGTGCATTGCAACCTACTGTAAAATCACTGTACACTTAGGATATTTTCTACAGAATAAATGAATATTGCCAAAATCCAAGTGGGAATAAATTAAGTATGCCCTCAAGCTGCTAATATCAGCTATTTCCTAATTTTTGAGGCACTGACTACTGATATGGGTTTAATTGAATCCATCTGGATAATATGTATATTTCTTGTACACAGATATGCTCTTCTGAATTATCTTAATATGTGTTATACCAACTATGACTATGTCTACAGGGAAAATGTATTACTAAAGTTGTTATTTCATAATTAATCAGATATTAATCACAGTTTTTTGTGTTTCCAGCCAGCTCAGGCACTAATGTTTTTTCAATATTTACCAAGAAGTGACATTTTTATATAGAAATAATTTTTTCCAGTAGATAGAAGTGTTCAAAATGTATACAGACAAAAGCCCTCCATTTCTCACCATTTTACTCAATAATTCTCTCTTCATTTTTGCATTGCATAAAATCTGTTGGAATGAGCACTTTCAAAGATATATAAAAAATATATATATGGCTTAGAACATACAACTCTCATGAAATCTGGGTTTTAATTTCAGGGTACAATTCACAGTTGCCATTTTAAATGAAGCTCCTGTTTTTAGGCCTCCAATCAGCTTTAAATCCCTTTAACCCCACTACCTCAGAACCTCTCACATGGCTCTGGGGTTTTTTCTCCCTTCTTCCCCCCATCATTAGTTTCAGAATTTCTTGGATTTCACCAGACACAGCTGCAGTGGATGCTGACTGGACTATCCTGGTGCTGTGCCTGGCTGAAAATTGGCAGATTTAGGGAAGTGGAATGGGAGAAGATCAATAAAACACCTCTGTGCTGTTAGCCAAGCACCTCATATGCTGTGCTTGTGTGCTGCACAAAAAGCAGCACTGTAAAAGCTGGAAATAACCTTCCAATTGTCTCAAACAGACATTAATCACTGGTTAATGTCATTATTTGTACTTGATACAGGACCAGCCAAGACCCAGTGCACAGCCAAGAAACAGAGAAAGATGGATGCCCATTATAAATATTAACTAACACATTTCAGGCTGTAAACTCACCTTGTATCCCTCTCTTCCTGAAGGATTTATTCTCCACCTTAATAACTCTATACATCCTGTCCCATCATGGCTCTCCTTTCAGACAGCCGTTTTCTCACCTCATGGCACCTCTTCCCAAGCTTCTCCCTGAATCTCATCCAGAACAATGCTATGTGCCCATAATGGCAACAGTATTTCAGAGTATTTTTGGAAGTCCACTGAAACAGCTAATTCATCACCTAATGTTTTCCCAGAACATTTCAGCAGCATACAGAATTATGTGGTGAACTAGGGATCACAGTGAAAACAGATGCCACGTCTGGAGCTGACCTTTTTGGTAAATAAATTACAAGGAAGCAGCCATCCTTGCAAGGCTGGTGGCATTACCCTGCTGTTCCCATGTGCCCCTGTGTACTCAGCTTTTTGCACAGTGCAAATGAAAACAAACAAGGATATACAGGATTTTTTTTCTTACAACAGAACTTTTCAGTACATAGGATTTTTCAACCTGAGATTTCAATTTGCTTTGCCGCTTTGAAATTGTCACATTTTAGCTTGTACCTGAATTCTCCAAAGGCTTTCCAGAGGATACCAAGAAAATCAAAACTCAATTCTTTTTCTCTAAATGACAGAAGGGTCTTAATGATTTCTGTTCCCAAACCTTAGCACCAGTGGAGAACAATTTTGTTCACAAACAACAGAACCTTTTCTTCCTAAATACGTGGGATCGACCACAACTGTGTTACCTTGTCTACATGTTGCCTTCATTGCTGCTCAGTACAACATCAAGTGAATTTTCCTCAATCTTGTAATTAGAGCATTTAATAGAATTTAATAGAATTCTGCATAGAAAAGTTATAAAGGAGCA